AATTCAAAACCTGCAGAGGGTCGTTTGGGAACCTTGTGGCACTCGGTGCACCAGGTCTCTGTATTTGTCCCTTCAAAAAGTGTGGATGGTCCTGCATCAAGCCTTCACCACTATAATCAAATCTCATGTGCTGGTGTCGGGCTGTCAGTTTCCTGGAAACTGATCTGCTTGACCCTCATACGTCGAATTTCGACAGGAGAGTCGACTATATATATATATATATAATATTTGTTCAAAATTATAACATATGCATGTTATAACATCACTACAAAAATTGCAATTTTGTTTCAACACTACCAGTGTCTTATCAAGTGATGGTGTAGATTCTAAAAAATAAAAAAAAGATTGTTATAATTTTGAATAAATATTATTTCCTCTACTCTATATTCAGTATTCTTTTAAGAATAGTGTTTTTGGTTATTGGAAGTTTATTCGATCTGTATCAAACTTATACTTGTATGTATATATATATATATATATATATATATATACGTTACTGGACTCCTGTAAATTTCAACCTATGAGCTTCAAGAACTCAGAAACTGACAACCTGACCCCAAGACAAATCATTTGATTATAGTGGTGAAGGCTTTGTGCAGAACCAACCACACTTTTTGAAGAGCCAAATATAGAGACCTGTTATACGACATGCCACAAAGTCCCCAAATGACCCTCAGGAGGTTTTGAATTCAGAGTTGTCTTTCTCCTAGACCAGTGGCCATCCAGTCTGTCCTGCTATTTACCCATAGCTAGTGGGTGAAGAAGAGGATTCATATCTTTTCCAAGGGTATTAGTATATAAATGAATGTAATGGGCTTCACTGGAATTTGAACTTGGCTCTCCGATTCCTCAGTCTGAGTTGCTATCCATTACATCACTGTGCCTCCTATATATATATATATATATATATATATATATATATATATATATATATATATATTTTTTTTTCATATGTATGCAAAAACAATTTACTCACTACAATGATGCAACCTTGTTTTGGTGCATTTAGTTGACTGGTGGAACTAAATGCACCAAAACAAGGTTGCATCATTGTAGTGAGTAAATTGTTTTTTATTTATATGAAAAATTATCATAAATAATTATTGCTCTACTGTTGGTATTGAGCACTCTTTTGAATTAATGCTGTGAACGTTATTATTTATATATTATTTTCATTCTCATTACATTTGTATGTACATATATATATATATATATATATGTATCGATAGATGATGGCACTGTCAAAATACCCTTTTGTGTGTGTAGAAGGTTATATGAAGATTATTTATAAGACAAGCATTTTTTCTAAATTTTTTCTTCTTTTTTTTTAATGTCCTATAGTTTATTCTCAGATTAAAATCTTAATTTCATTGTCTATTTGTCATTTATTGTAAACTCAATATTTTGTCATTTCTTTTCATTGATTAATATTCATGTTGCTTCTTACCGTATTCTTTGTTGGAGATTTTCAACTTGCATCGCCTGCTCTCTAATTTGCAGTAGAGAAACTCTTATCTACTAAAGAGCAGACAAAATATGATTCAAAGCATCAGAAGTAATAATAATAATAATAATAATTAGTCTGATTTTCGCTCTGCTTCTCTGAAACATCTGTCATGAGAAAACAAATGAATATTTAGAATGAATAAATGAATGTTTTCCTGATTAGAATATTTAACCTGAAACTTGGAGAGTCACGGACAAATCCACACTGCCAGTATTTAGCTGCTTGAACAGCATTATAAAATTAACTTACAAAAACTGATACTATACTGATCCTTGGGGAAAAAGCCAGGCAGTAACACTTTAATCTAAAAAAAAAAATGTGCACAGATACTACAATGATCTGGGAGTGAGAGTCAGGGTATGGAATCCTGATCTGAGAAAATATGCACAGATACTACATCAATCCTAAGGATAGAGCCAGGGAATTAAACTTTGATCTTAGAAAATGTGCACAAATACTACATCAGTACTAAGGAAAGAGCCAAGGAGTTAAACTTTAATTTTTAGAAGTGTGCACTGCAATTATCTGGAGTGTAGAGCCAATTTAATTTGTCTGAAGTGTCAATCTGTATGTAAACAACACTTTCATTTTTTATGGGTATAACATTAGTTATTTGATATTTGAATGGTTATATAGTCAATTCAGATTTGTCTGGTACAAAGTCACTGTAGTAGAGTATTTGTAAGGAAAAAACTTACTGAACTAACAATTGGGTCCAAAAAACAATCTTGCTGACCAATGTACCTCATTTGGTACCCAACAATTTATGCAACCACTTTTTTTTTTAAACAAATTGCCCCAAGCAAGGCAGGAGTGCCACTAGCATGCAAGGGTTTATAGAGAGTGAGAGTAAAGATGGGTCTTTGGGAAAAGGCTAGAGAGAAGGACAGGGATCAAGGTCAAGTTATCAAAAGATGACATTGATATTACATTTGAATATTTGAAGATTATAGCTATCAGGGAAGCAAGTAATAGGAAGGGAGTTCCACTGATGGGAGGTGGAAGATAAAAAGCTGTTGGAGTAGAAGAGATGGTTACATTTAGTCATTTAAACAATGAAAAGTTTGGGACAGAGATGCCAACCTAGTAGCACACTTAAATTCATGCAATGTCGGAACTAGTGAAAGTAGCTCATTGGAGTAGTTGACATGAGAGTAGTTGTAGAAAAGATTGCCTGATGTTATCAAAAATCACCTATCTTTACTTATATTGCTGACTTGCTAAACCCAGAAAGAAAATTGCAGGATCTCCTAGACAAGGCAGAAAAGAAAAGCAAGAAGAAAAGACTGTCACTTATAAAAAGACAGAATGTATGGTCATTAGCAAGAGTATCAGCCCAAGATGCAAGCTATGAATTGAAGACATCAAAATCAAGCAAGTACAGAAATGGAGAGTTTCTTAACAGATGACAGAAAATGTGATATCAGAATCTGAAGGCACATTGGAACAGTGAAAAATGCCTTCCAAAAGCAAAGCAAAGTATCACAGAGTTTTAATTTTTCTGTCAGACATATTATGGCATAATCAAATTGACATTAAAAATAAAGGCTAAAAATCTGTTTTATGCAAAAATTAATGACTGTTTATTTATGCTAACTTGATTCTGTGTTATTGTAATTAAAACTAAAACTAAGAAATAATTTTTAATTACTACAGGGAAATCTCATTAGAAACAAACAGAGTGCTGAACTGCTATTTAATATCAATCCTCTTATATGGCAGTAAGTGCCAGACAATTTCCTCACAGATAAAGAAGTGACTTGAAACCACAGAAACAAAGAAAAAGGTGCTATCTGCTATCTAATATCAGTCCTTCTATTTTTTTTTTTTAACAATGTTACCCCATGCAAGGCATTAAAGCCACTGAATCACAAGATGTTACTGGGTGGGGAAGAGTTAAAAAGAGGAAGATTACTAAGTGAGAATAAAAGATGAGTAATCAAGAGGACAGTAAATAACAACTGACATTGCATTTAAATTTTTGCAAAATTCTAGAAAACTTTGAGCCGGAAGGGAGTTCCACAAATGAGAAATATGAGAAAAGAAACCATTAGCATAGAATATGATTACTTCTAGCCAATTCAACTGTAAATTGAAACATTTTTGTCAGTTTAGTAAATCACTTAAATTTAAAAAGTCTAGGTGCTATAGTGAAGAGCTCATCTCAACAATTACCATGAAAAGTATTTATAAATAAAGAAGATACTTGAGGCAACAGAAGCAAAAAAAGTGCTGAACTGCTATTTAATATCAATCCTTCTATATGGCAGTGAATGCTGGAAAATTTCCTTACAGACGAAGAAGAGACAAGGCAACAGAGGTATGGTTCTATAGGAGGAGACTGAGAATACCAAGAGTGGAACATATGAGCAACAAGGAAGTTTTATGGAAAAATGGAAACAAAAAGGACGCATGCACTTTGAATCAGAATTGAAATTTCTGGAATAGATAATGAGGAAAGAGGTTTGGAGAATTTGACACTCACAGTTTATATTGAAGGCAAGAGGTATAGGGAGCAAACAGTAACCTACCTACCAAACTTGTGTTAATGGATGGTAGAACAGGGACTGGGAAGGGTAGTAAGTGGACAAACATTGCTACAAAGGATAGGAAGTTGTGAAGGGCTAAAATAAAACCAGGGAACACTGAGCACTCTAAGTCATTTAGATTGTTAATTGCCAAAATGGGAACAGTGGTTTACAAGATTATCTTGTAGACTATTAACTTGGCTAGTCACCTTGATTCTCAAAGAAGCTGCATTATTGTGGCCTTGTGTCAGACTAAATTGCATTTTATAATTATCTCTCTTATACTGAATGATTAGCTAATGTTAGTAAATGGCTGAATACCTTTCAATTAATTAAAAAATGTTGAGGGTTCAAATCCTGCAATAAGTATTTTATCTAATTGTTTTATGTATAAAAAGCTATCAATTATTTTTAAACACGCAAAATGTTTTTGTTCATATAAACCTAAACTAGATATGCCTTTCATATATTGCAGGCATCACCCTAAAATATTGTCTAATTTATTTTGGTCATCTCAGATCCATATCAAAAACATTAGAAACTGTAGTAATTTAAAAACCAATTGCAGTAATTCAAAAATGTTCAAGTTATTTTGATTTTAATTGCAATAACAAAGAATCAAGTTAGCATTTTAAAAATTAATTATATTTTGCATAAAGCAGTTTTTAACCAATTTTTAAAAAAAATATCAATTTGTTTATGCCATAATATACATGACAGGAAAATTTAAACACTGTAACTAAAGGTCTTCCAAAATTTAAATAGCCATTATATAAATTTAGTATTAGAAAAATAATTATTTAACTATATTTTGAAAAAATGTTATCTTCATTTTATGTAAAATATAGTGAAAAATGTATGATTTGCATATGATGGATGTCTGTTACTTGCCATTTCAGTTCAAAGGACACATGGTTATTGTGTAAACTTTCTTAACACATATGTGATAAAAGCCGGCTGGGCTTACAGCCTTATCATGTTGAGACACCATTTCTGGTACGATCACTGAAGTTAAGCAACATCGAGCCTGGTCAGTATCTAGATGGGTGACTGCTTGGGAATACCAGGTGCTGTAAAGTTTGATGTTTAGATAATGTATTTGATAATGGTTTGGAATTGGAGAGCTAATTTCCAGTTCCAGTTGGGTTCGTTATATTCACTTATGTGCACATACTCTTGTGAAAGGTATGAATCTACCTGTTCTCCTCCCCGCTATGGGTTAATTAGTAGGACTTCTATTAGTAAATCATCATTATCTCCAAAAATTCTTACAATCTAAAAATAATCTCTGACTTTAAATAACCTGCTAAAAATTGATAAGCCTTAAAAGAAACAAACAATAAAAGCCTACTTAAATTTATAGGTTAGAATGAGACGTGTTATGTGTATGAAAAGGGGTTCTGAAAAGTTCTTAGGGCCAACACTCTTCACAAACTCAGTATTGATATTTGGTCATTGAAATACTGATTTTGGCAATTATATTGAGAATTTTTCAATGAACCCTTGGATGTACAAAATTGTATTGGAATAGATCTAAAAATATTATTTACTTAATTACATGTAGAAATCTTATGTGATATATTAGGGGTGCTGTTTAAGTGGGTATAATATCAAGTTATATATTTTGGGGAGAGAAACCTGAATTCTTCTTCTTCTATGTGCCATGTTCTTTCAGGACGTTGACAATCATGGCTCTCCTCAATTTCCTCTCTTTTTGTAGCTCTTACTAAATTTTGTCTTTTCTTATCTCTTTTTAACCCTATTCTGCCAATCATCCAATTACATAAGCATTTTAGGTTAGGCACTGTCTTACTCTGTCCCTCATGCCATCAACATGTCCTGTGAGTATCAAATTCTCCAAACTGTCTTTCCTCATTATGTGTGCTAGAGATTTCAACTATTTCTTTCTGATTCTAAGTATAAGTGTTCTTTTTGTTTCTATTTTCCTTAAAACTTTGTTACTCACATGCTTAGTCCCTGGTATTCTCAGCATCCTTCTGTAGAACTATTTTTTCATTACCTCAAGTCTTTTCAAGTACTCTTTCGTTTCTTCTTAACAAACAATACTTTTGTGAAATCAACGTTAGAATGTTCAGAAATACAATTTTTTTAATTGTCTTTATTCTTTATTTATTGTTCTTTAAAATTTATCCCAAAATTTCCAAACAACAAAATTTAAAATTTAGTAGGCAGCGAATGAAAACAAGAAGAAAGGACTAAGCATAAACTAAAAAATAAAAAGACAAAATGCATGGTTATCAGCAAAAGGGGTGAGCCCAAAATGTAAATTACAGGTTGGGGATACTAAACTCAATCAGGTACAGAAATTTCAATATCTGGAAAGTCTTCTAACAGAGGATGGAAAGTGTGACACTGAGATCCGAAGATGTATTGGAATAGCCAAAGATGCATTCCAAAAGCTAAGCTGAGTATTAAGAGACACAAAAATTTTGTTAGAAACAAAGAAAAGAGTACTGAACTGTTATGTGATATCTGTTCCCCTGTATGGCAGAGAATGCTGGACAATCTCCTCAAAGATGAAGAAGATACTTGAAGCAACAGAAATGTGGTTCTACCAAAAGATGCTGATGATACCATAGTTCGAACATGTGAGAAACAACAAGGTTTGGGAGAAAATGGAAATAAAAAGTAAACTTATACTTATCAGGAAGAGGAAGTTGAAATTTCTAGGGTATATAATGAGGAAGGAGGGCTTGGAAAATCTGATACTCACAGGACAGATTGAGGGAAAGAGTGACAGATGAAAGCAGTGTGTAACATACTTGATGAGCTTGAGCAAATGGATGGAAGAACAGGTTTTGGGAGAAATAACAAAGACAAAAAGCTATGAGAGGCATAAAGATGTGGAGGGCCATGATCGCCTACATCTTGAATGGACATAGTACACAAAAGAAGAAGGAAGGCTTTTCAGTGTCACCCAATCTGTGTAACCTTGAAACTGTACAATGAAGAACAAAATGTGTTTTTTTATCAGAGGTTTATCATAAAAATAGAAATATCTTGTCAAGCAAATAAACTGGATACTGGATTATTAAGTTGACCCGATTATTCTGTATAAGACAATTCTTAAGAAGTAAAACAGCATTGTCCGAATCTGTGATAAGTCATTAGAAAAAGATGTTAATTTATTTGGTAGCAACCTAGATGAGAATATTGGTCTGAATAAATCACCAAATTAATGGAAACTGATATAATCTAAAGGAGGTACTTTCCAAAAGACAAATGGAACAGTTTAAACCTGCCAGAAAAATGTATCAATTTTATGCAAGAATCTTAGATCAAGTTTTATGAAAATTGGCAAGATTTTAAAAAAAGTACTGATCAGAATTGCTGTTGGTCAACTGTTTTATGTTTGCATTAACAAGATTATGCTGATAAAAACAGTTTCAGGCCCAGTCATTAATATCTGGTGATTAATTTGAATATATTTATTTAATTTTGAACATAAAAAACAATTTTAGTAGTGCTTATAAATAATTAATATAGTAAAATAAAATAATTTTTTTCTTTTTTATGTACGATTGCCCAAATAAAAAAAAAAAAAATCAATGTCTAACACCTCTTTTATATTTGGTTGAACAAAAATTATACACTATATATATATATATATATATATATATATATATATATGATGGACTCTGCTCTCAATTTGACATAGGAAGATCTGACAACCTCATTCAGTTTTTATGTTTGTGTCATTTATAATACTTCAATCCCACTAGTGACCTGCATAGATGTCCACATATTGTGCAACAGTGAGGATCTTCGGACATATCAACAGCAATATATATATATATATATATATATATATATATATATATATATATGGTGTGGCAAATGTAATGCCCTTTATTATTATTAATTAACTTTTATTGAACAAAAACAACAGTAATTTAAGAAATGTTTTTATTGCCACATCAAAACAACATGATTTGTTATGATTAGCAAACTTTTTAACATATTCAAAATGCTCCCCCTTCATGTTCAGTACAACAATGAACCGTATCAGCAACACTTTTACAGGCAAATCGACACAATTCTAAATTAATTTAGAAAATTTATCAGATATTGCTTGTTTTAATTCAAGAATTGTTTTCTGTTGTCAACAAAATCTTTTAATACACCCCACAAGAAAAAGTCTGGCAATGTTAGGTCTTGTGATTGCAATGGCCATTCAATTTTTCACATTGTCCTATATCCACTTCAGCACAAAATAAAAGATCATTACTTTTGATGCACCCTATATATATATATATATATATATATATATATATGGTATGCTAAAAAAAGTGCTCAATACCAGAAATAGACAGTATATAAATATAAAGCTGGACACTGATGTCAACACCAAGTCGTTACAGTCTGTGTTACGCTTGAATGCAATCTCCAGGTCATGATGAACATGAAATTTTAAAACAAATACTGTATATCATATTTTTTATTGAATATTGATACATTTTTCAGGATTTCTATTCCTTTCATCATCAATAGATTTAATTTTTTTAAAATTAAACCGATGTTATACAGTCTTTGTCTACACTTTAATCAGATCAATTGTATACTTCAAATATATATATATATATATATATATATATATATATATATATATATATATATTTATATATATATATATATAAATTGTAAAAAAACAAAACATTACGATTCATTTTCTATATGTTTTAGTTTTTACAAGCTCCAGGAATTTATCCCAAGGAGCGAAATGACCATAAAAATGGGGGTACAATTGAGTTTCATTTTTATGTAATTTATTTCTATGCTCTATAATAAATATATTGAGCCTTCTCTTGTGGATTAGTTTTAATATTTTATATTAATAAGATTCACTTGGATTACTTACCCATGGATTTTTATATATATATATATATATATATATATATATATATATACACACACACACACACACACATGGGACACTTTGGAAAATATTTTTTACATAAAAAATTATCTGATAACATTAAACAAAGGATATAAAAATCACAACATTTACACTATTTACATTCTTCCGACTATTCTCCTCATCTTCGTTGCCATATTCATGATGTTTTGGGCATTGTATGCTCTGGTCTTCTTCAGATAATTGGAATTTCAAACTGAACCCTTTATTTCATCCACTCGGGAAGATTCTTCTAGTTCCACATGCCATGCCTCTTCCAGATGTCTCAGTTATCTCACTTTAACTCACTTTGTTCACCTCATCTGTAGCCAGGTATTGGACTCAGAACTCTTTGGATCAAGTCACTGGATTCAACCAATTCTTTTATCCACTGGGCCATGTGTCCTCGAAGCAGAAACATCATGAATATGGCAATGAAGATGAGGTCACCAGTCTGAAAAATATAAATAATGTAAATAATTACAATCACTCATTTCATAAATATAGACAGACATTTGCACTCATTGTTATAAACTTTCTTCTTCTATGTGCATCATACCTTGAAGATTCAGACAATCACAGCTCTTTACAACGTATTATCTCATGTGGCTATTAGCAGTTTTTCTCCCTTTGCTAAGGCCCTGACCCCTGTTCTGTCATTCTTGTCACACAAGTTTTTCAGTTATAAATTTTACATTATAAAACAATTAAAAGGAAATTTACTGATTTGAAATTACAGCCAATTTGGCTTCTTACAAAGTATTTGTTTCTGAGGGTACATGTGAATGCAACCCTCCAATTGAAGGCTTTAAACAAACAAAAACTTTCATAAAGTTATTATGTAAAATTTCATAAAGTATGGCTTTGTAGATTTTGCTCTTTTGATTATAGTCAATACCTAAAGTTCAAGACTCTATCAAACTGACCTGCAAATATAAACTTGAAGCTTCATTTACTGAGGTTCTAATAAAGTTTCATATCACTTTTGAAAAAGAAAGTCAAGAAAATGAATATTGAAATTGATTCTCATTAAATGTTTATTTTAAATGAAGAAGCCATGAATGTACTGCCTTAATATTGCAAACAAGATTTACACACAACTTACTACAAGGCTAATCATGTTTTCAATTAATAAGTTGATTTAATGAGATTTTAATGAGATTTTGTCTCAGAGTTCATTTTCTCAGGTTGCAATTCAGTATTCTTATTTACAATGTTTATCTTATAAATTTGCTCACTCACTGGTTACTATGTCAAACCTTGACTTACCATACTTGAAGGCATGCAAGATCTCATTTTTTATTTAGTATTATGCAGTTTAGCACAATGGTTATTAATATGGAAAGGGTAATTAGGAGGCTGAGTTCAGTTTTGCACAATTCTTTATAAAATAAGCTAAGAAGAAATTCACTTGAATAAATAATATATAATTTATACTTACATTATAAATTTACTAATTTAAAAATATTGTTAAAGCTCTACTGAATATGGTTAGTTGGAGAGAGCTCAAACTGACCAAGTTGACTAAGGAAGGAAAATTCGGGCATTTTTGGCTACGGCGTTCGTGAGTTATTTTCCTGACGCGTTACAAGTGATTTTCTTTCTTTGTGTTTTGAAAGTAACAAATTTGCTTCGAGAATGCTTACACTTCAATTGAGCACTGTTTTTTAAAAATAAAAATAATTAATAAGAACACAAGATTATAAATCTTACTGTTCTCATTATTTTAATATATATAATTTATACTTATAGTTTCTTTTTATTGTGTGGAGTAATAAAATTGTGACTATGGAATCTATCTTATATATTTATAATTCTACCATTCATCGAATATTGTTGCTACATCTGATCTGGTGCTTCTGCTATATATTTAGAGACTCTAGATAAAATCCAAAGAAGAATCTGCAATGTTATTGGTCCCAAATTGGTATCTCAATTTCAGTCACTTTACCGCTATCATAATGCAGCTTCCCTGTACTTTTTCTATAAATACTTTCATAGTAATTGTTCTGATGAACTTTCATCTTTGGGACCATAACTTTATGAATTTGAGCACAGTACTAAATTGTCTGCTAGGTCTCATCATGTTACAATTGAAATGGCTACCTCTATGCTAATAGTTTCTTCACTCACACATCTCACTTTTGGAACTCTTTTTCAGCTTCTTGATTTCCAGTCAACTTTCATCTTCAAAAATTTAAATGCAATGTCAGTTGTTATCTTTTATCTTCTTAATTCCTATCCTTTTATTGCTCTCTCTTCTTAATAATCTCTCAGTAACCCCTTGTATCTTAGTGGCTCTATTGCCTTGCTTGGAGTGAAAGGATTAAAAAAACAAATACTCTTGAAATAGGCATGAATCTATCTATTCTTTCTCCAGCTATGGTCATATTATATTGAAACACCAGTTCTCTTATGATCACTGAAGTTCAGCAACATTAAGTTTGTTCACTACCTAGATGGGTGACTGCTTGGGAATACCTTGTGCTGTAAGTTTAGATCTGCAGGTGGTATAATAGATAAAACCTCAGAATTTGAAATTGGAGAGCTGAGTTCCAATTCTTGTTGGGTTCATTATATTCACTTATATGCAAATACCTTTGAGAATGATATGAATCTACCTCTTCTTACCCCTATGGGTTAATTAGTAAGATTCACATCAGTAAATCATTATTATCTCAAAGAAAAAAAATTCTTGCAATTTAAAATATTTTTGGGTTTTTTTATTTAAGCCAGCAAAAGGTTGATAAGCCATAAAAAATCCATCTAGCAATGGGTTAAATACTAGGGTAGACAGTGATCTCTAGTTTTGAATAGTAAGAGAGGTACTACTCTGAATTCAAAACTTTCAAGAAACCAATGGGAAATTATTTTCAGTCTCTTTTGCAAAAACTCTTGGGAATTCACAGATAAGAATAAAAAGGAATAATGGGGAGCACCATGATCATTGTTAGTCTAAAGCAGTGGTTCTCAAGTGGGGTCCATATGGACCACGGGGGGGGGGTCCATGTAACATTACTGGGATCCACAAAAAAAATAGCAAATTGGGTGTCCATGATAAAATTTTATTGGTCCATAGAGCAATTTAACTTCAGAACGGTTGTTACAACTGAGAATTGGAATTTCTACAGTAATCTACGCCATATTAAAATGCTTAAAATAGAAAAACAATTCTAAAACTAGCAGAAAACAAGATCAAGTGATGTAAGTGAGTATCCCTTTTACTCTACCAGATGTTTTGATTGTAAAAGTTGAATATATATATATATATATATATATATATATATATATTGTGTGTATTTAGGCAGCAATTTTTCATTGATGCATGTTTCATTAAATAATATAGACAAGTTTTGTCTATTTATTTTAAGTAAGTTTCTTTCATATTGTCTGATAAGCTTAATCACATTATCGTTGAAAGACAAAAGGAAATCCCCATATTGATACATGTTTAAATCCTATCTAAGCTTTCGGCTTACATAAGCCATTATCAAAGATGACAATTACTTCTCAATATATTAACCAATACATGGAACAATAATGATAGTCTGTTTTTGTTTCATGAAAAATTTCAAAGCAATGACAAACTCATGTATATGAGACGCAGAAGCGAAAATCGCATCACAGCTCATGATGTCACACATGACCACATGAGAGTGAAAACAAGGAGTATTAAGTATGGGAAGCCGTTGGTATAAACCAATGGCTTCTGTTATCACTTATAGGCATTTAAGAATATTTGTGGAGATTTCATAGTTTATTTTGTTCAGGTTAGGTTTCAACTGTTTTATGTATAAAGCTTCAAGAATTTTTAGTTTTTGTTTATTGTTTTCATGTTTAAGTATAGTTGGGTTTTCAACAAGGATTTTTCGGAATTGTGTACGCGAGCCAAGCATGTTGTTTTAAAGGAAAATTATATAAAGATTATAATTTATTATATAAATTAATTTAATATATTAAAAATAAATAATGGTATTAATTCTAAACAATAATAAAATATAATTAAATAATATATTAATAGACTCAACAATGTGAAAAGGCCTGATCTTCGACTATCATTGACATCGATGGAGCCGAATATATAAAAAAAACTCGCAGAGCAACATCAATCATTGGGATCTCATTGAATAAATTTGCACTTTTCTTTTATTTTATTAATTACTCACATATTTAAAAATGGTTTATTATGAGTTATTTTACTAGTGTACATAAACGTTCCATAGAATTCAGTTGTTAAATACAAGTTTATTTTCATTAGTTTTATTTCAAAATAAAGCATAGATATTTACTATTTCTATAATACAATTCTTAAACTTATCTATTAGTAAAAAATAAAATAAGCTTTTTTTTCATAAAATTGTTATGGGGGTTCACTAAAAATAAGGTTGAGAACCAATGGTTTAAAAGAATATAGCATTAAAAAAAAACAAACTAAAATCCAACAGCAAGGCCTCTGATTGGGAGGTTTTGAGGAGCGGGTAACTGCCTCTTGATTGCTGGTGTTCGCAGGTCTGTCCTCGTGCAGGGTGGTGGCAACTGTTGGGGTCCCAGCTATGGGTAAATAGTTAACACCCAAATTTGTGTAAAAATAGGTTTTAATACCAGAAATACTTTGTTATAAAAAAATTATTACCAAGCAATAATTTTTGAAGGAAAAATTATTATCAGCAATACTTTAAAAAAAATACCAGTAATACAAATAGCTGTACATTCTTTGAAAAAAATGGAGAATGGAACTTGGAATACAAAATAGTGCAAACAAAATAATAAAGTGAGTAATTTAAAAAAAAAAAACATTACGAAAATAAAACCATCCAAGATTGTAAATTTCATAAAAGAAGTTGGATTGTACTCAAAAATATGAGTAATTGAAAAAATGTTCAAATATATATGTATACATACACACCTTTTTTATCAAACTATTGCTATGAACCTATTTCAAAAATGTTGTTGGCCTTAAATGACCCACTGAGGTTGATATGCCATAAAACAAACAACTAACCAACCAACAAACTAAAATATCTAAAACCTAGAGATAAATATAAGTAATTAGGCTAAGTATAAATCCTGGTTGTCTTTTGTATCTGAAAAAACATTTGTCTACCAACTACAACAAGAACATATATAATATTGTAATTCTTTTCTACTCCACACTGCTTTTCCACAGATAAAATGTTGCTAGTCTCTATTGCTCTTTCCATATTAAATGTTGTACCAGTTCCTACCTTCACAACTAAGACCTACCATGACATATACACTGAGATGAATCATCTTCATCTCTTTCATCTTCTATTTGTAGAGTAAGTGGTCATGGTCAAATGGCAGAAGTGCCCAACAAATAGAATTGACAAAGTTCGTAATAAGCAATAAACAATATTAAGAAAAGAACCAGGCAAAAATATAAACTAAGCAAATAAAATACAAGATGGTTCGAAAGTCTTGTCACCCCATACCAAAAAGTAATGAGACCAATAGAAGAATAAGTAATACAGTAATACAAAGCACATGTACTGGATTCAGTTTATTCACTTTCATTGCACTGTCACACATCAAAAAGCCTCTCTTCCAAACTGTAGGAGCTTGTGTCAGCCATCTGAAATAGAAAATTATATTATGTAGGGATAACAAGATTTTTGGACCACCCTGTATGTAAGGCAAATTAACAGAAATAAGGCAAAAATGGTAAAAAGTTCACAAACTAAGAATTGATGTCGACACACAAGAGCAAATTTGGATAAACGAATGTAGCACCAAAACTGAGTCATTTGAAACTGAGAACTGGCCTATTTTATTGGCTAGGAAGAAATCCCAGCATGCATTTGCGTGCTTCTGCCTATAAATTATGGGAGGAGAAAATGTTTTGCAGCCATTTCTATTATGGGATTTGAACCAAAACTATTACAAGTTCCATTCAAACTGCTTCTTTTCAAAAACTGCCACTTTCTGGAACTGACTACTGAGAGGTTGCTTTTCCAATCACGACATTCTTAACCCTTTTAAGTCCAGGTTTAAAATAAACAAAAAATATTGATATTGTTGGTGCAGAAGAGGATTAAATTTGAGAGAGAAGTGGAGTAATGATAAAGTCAGAGTGTAGGGATGAGAAAAACTAAAAATTTGCCACTGTATACCAGATTTATATCTAGTTGACACAAAAACATAACAGTGATTACTTTTTCATTCTTTTTATCCTGACAGAATGTGATGTATCACTCAGTACATTTTTATTTTTGAGGTTAACTTTATTGAACAATATATTTACCATTTTATTGTACTGTTTTCTACCATCATATTTTCAAACTTTTCTCAGAAGAACTTCTCTTTTACAATCTTCCAATGAATTCAAATTTCTAATTCTAAACAGTTTTTACCAATGCCTGCTTTCAATTAACTTAAATCATTCCTACTGTATATACAGCTTCATCTTTAGCCAAAGATTGGCCTTTCCTGCAGTTAGTGTTGATTAACCCTTGATTTCTTGCATTCCACATCATTGTAAAGTATTCACTTTTCATTGCCCAATACTTGGTATCATATAACATTGATTTGTTTCATGTAATGTCTTAATTTGATTGCTGATAACCTCAACTGGTTTACTTGACTGTGAATCATTGTTCCATGAAGACTCTCCAGCATGAAGCTTTACAAACCACTTTTGACATGTGGATCTTTTAAAACACTTTCTTCATAAACTGCATAAACTTGTTTTTGGTTGGCTCAAGCAGAAATTGTGAATTTTGCACTATCCACAAAATATCTTTGATGACCATTCTTCTGTATAATGTGTTCTCTCAGGATGTAGCTCATGGCAATGTGCGTCTTTTTACAGTCTCTTCCATTCCTTTTTATGCCATCCATTTACACAAGCTCATTAGGCATGTTACTCATTGTTTCCTTTTGTTCATCTTGCTTTAGTAAGTCTTTTGAGTATCACATTCTCCAAGTCTTCTTTTTTCATTATGTATCCTAGAAATTTCAATTGTCTTTCTGATTCTAAGTATGAGGATTTTTCAGTTTTGATTGTCCAGTTTTTAGCAGAGATAAATTATAACAATTTTGTGCATCAACAAGGATAGAATTTACAAAGTAATTCTGTGATAATCCTGGAAACCATGTTACTGTAACCAACAATATAAAAAAAATGCTATTAATTAAGTAAGTTACAATCTTTTACTCTAGGAAAAATCTATATCTATATAAAAGAGTTGTCTGTCCATCATACAGTCTGCCTGTGACTTTCCATGTTTGTATTTGTGCGATTGATTTACATGTACTTCTGCCATTTAATATATCCACAAGCACATTGGAATAATACATTCCCTGAACAACCCTACCCAGGTCTGAGCAATAAAATTATAAATTTGGAAGAGTAAAAGAACTTAATTTCTTAAACTATTGTAATGGAATGCCCCACACTCCCTATCGCCTATGTGGACTGACTATATCAGTAGCTATATATGGTGAACACAGGATATACCTGAAGGCTTTCTTTG